TCTGTCTGTCTGTCTGTCTGTCTATCTGTCTCTCTCTCCCCCCTCTCTCTGTCTGTCTGTCTATCTGTCTGTCTGTCTCTCTCTTTCTCTCTCTCTGTCTGTCCGTCTCTGTCTGTCTGTCTGTCTTTCTTTCTGTCTTTCTGTCTGTCTATCTGTCTCTCTCTCTCTGTCTGTCTGTCTCTCTCGTTTTCTCTCTCTGTTTGTCTGTCTGTCTGTCAGTCTGTCTCTCACCCTCCCCCCTCTCTCTCTTCCTCTGTCTGTCAGTCTGTCTGTCTCTCTCTCTCTCTCTCTCTCTCTCTCTCTCTCTCTCTCTCTCTCTCTCTCTCTCTCTCTCTCTCTCTCTCTCTCTCTCCCTCTGTCTTTGTCCCTCTGTCTGTCTCTGTCTCTCTCTCTCTCTCACTCTCTTTCTCACTCACTCACTCATCCCCCCCCTCTCTCTCTCTCGCTCTCTGTCTGTCTGTCTCTCTCTCTCTGTCTCTCTTTCTCTCTCTCTCTCTCTCTCTCTCTCTCTCTCTCTCTCTCTCTCTCTCTCTCTCTCTCTCTCTCTCTCTCTCTCTCTCTCTCTCTCTCTCTCTCTCTGTCTTTTCCATCATAAATTAAACATAAAAGAATATTTTCTAAACAACATATACAAATTCACAAGTAATGCAGTTAGTTGTAATTTAATATGAGACAGTTTAAGCTAAACCGCATAATAAAATTACATAATAAAGTGGAAACCTTATTTAGTATGCCAGTATAGTTTCATGGCATTCAGAACCAAAGTTCCATTATTACTTAATTTGACTGGTTAAAAGAAATGCTCTTTAGAATTTATTACATCTTAAAATGATTAAGCATTCAAAAGAACAGTGCACCTCACCTTAAACGTAGATTTAAATTTGCAATTATAACTATTCACTAGTGAAACCTGTGGAAATTCCATAAAAAAAAGAGGTACTTCTCACCTCTTCTCTCCCTTTTCCATTCTCTTTCCCTCTTCAACCTTTCCTGCTATGGCACTCCCACTCATCCCCAAATATTCCTTAAATTCACTCTTCCCTTCCCAATTTAAGCCCTACACCTGCACCCTCCCACTTCCCCCCTCTTCCTCCTTAAACTCCCCCACCCCCACTCCCTTATCCCTCCCTCCCCCATCCTCTTTCCTCTCTGAGCCCCCTCTCTCTTCCACCTCCCTTTCCTCTATAAGTCTGTTTCGTCTTCCCCATCTCTCTTCAACCCCCTTCCCCTCCCTTCCCCCCTTTAATTTTTAAGTACCCTTTCTTCTCCCTCTTCCTCTACTATCTCCCTGATTAACCTTCCCCCTTGCACTGTCACGTATGTGTGCATAAACCGATTGTCTAACTACTTCCTTCATGGCAGTGCACTTGCACAACAAAAAAAACAACAACAACAATAATAATAACAGCAATGAAAATGATAATCATAAAAACAGGGATAGGAGAGGATTTTCATATATTTTTTAAATACATTACCTTTCTGCATGAGCGCGTGCACCTGGGTGTGACATTCTTTCATATTTATATTGTCAAATATCACCCCATATAGATCAAATTAAAGCTGTTAAAACAACAGCTTACTTAATATTTTTGATCAAATACTGATCCACTTATCTGCAAACATTAATAGTATAAGAAAGCACACAAAATATGATATCTGAGACAGATACGAGCATTATCATCATAGAGAACCAATGTACACATGCAGAAACTTATATGAGAATCTCATTATTATTGAAATTTATCTATTTCTCAAATCTAAAGTGATTTCTAAAGTTGCCCTTTTTTCCAACTTGTAAACAATAAATGATTTCTACCAATTACAGTTGAAGAAGAAATAAATCTCATTTTCTATCACACCGGTATCATAGTAATCGTAAACACAATCTTCCAGAGGTATGCATGTGTGAAACAGTGTTTCCTATCCTAAACAACATAAATGAACTGTTTCTTCCTAGAAATATGCTTCATTGTGTAAAGCTCTGTATTACAGTGTGTCTTTACCGTCTTGCATGCTCACGGCTTAGTTATGTGGTAATCTTCCGAAGCAAAAAGCTGTTCTTAACCAATTGTCATAAAAATAGATAATTAGATCCTCTCTCTGAGACATCCTGGGTCAATGTCAACCTTATTTATTAATGTAGAATCCTAAAAATATATGATTTGGCATACTGTAAGGTTTCAGTGTCACATAGCCTAAATGTAAATTTCAGTTACTTCAACCTCCTGGCTAGTATAGTGGCAACAGGTTGCCTCTCATCCGAGGGGACTGCAGTTCACGCCCCGCCCAGGTGTGAGAAGTTGCGATTGTTGCTTGGACTTACTTAGGTTACTGCTGTGGCTGGGGGCACCGCGGCGGGTAAGGACTAAACTCAGCCGAGTCAGCACCAGCTGACACATGTTAGCAAGTCTGCATTACTTTACACAGGCCAGCCTCCTCTCATGAGCATAACCTGGGTGAGACTCAGCTTCGCATATCGGACTTATCCTTATCCTTATCTGAATGCTTTTGGTTTGTCCAGACGAGCACTATCAGAGTCTTTTCTTCGTTTATAGAGGCTCCGTACCTGGTATTGTTTATTTTCACTTTTTGATAGGAGTATGATAACATTTAACAAGGTTGTGCGACATTTAAAAAGGCTGAAGCATTGATATTTTGTAATATAATGCTATTGCCACTGTCTTCAGTCTTTGCCAAATCCTGCTTATAATATAATTAAAGTGTCACTCTGCTGTACAATTTCTCCTTTTCTCCATTTTCTGTTCCATTTTCCTTTTACACTATTTAAACAAACAAAACAAAAAGAGGGACCTTCTGAACCTTGCATCCAACTCAGGAGAGGCAGGCGAGGGTTTCACCTGTAAAGGTGTTACCATTGCAGGACTAGCTCCTGTTATGACAACACTAAGCAGGCAAAAAAAAAAATACTGTTTTCCATGTCCCATTCTATGTTTCCATGTTCCTTTTTTACGTTTCCTTTTATGTTTTCATGCTCTATTTATATTCCCAAGTACCTTTTATGTTCATGATCATGATCCATGTTTTATTTGTCATTTTTGTCCATCTTCATTCCCAATCGGTAGATTAACTAGATTAAATAAAAAAAACAAAAGAGGGACCCACTGAACTTCACTTCCACCTCACGAGATGGAAGGGAGGCAGGCGAGGGTCTCACCTGCAAAGGGCTCCTACCAAAGGGCATACATATCAAATAAAACCACGCCTTCCAACCAGTGATGAAAAACAAACGCCATGCAAGGGGTCTCGCCCCCCTCCTTTATTACGAAGCCTATTTTCAATTTCTAGGTCATTCCCAATCGGTAGATTAACTAGATTAAATAAAAAAAACAAAAGAGGGACCCACTGAACTTCACTTCCACCTCACGAGATGGAAGGGAGGCAGGCGAGGGTCTCACCTGCAAAGGGCTCCTACCAAAGGGCATACATATCAAATAAAACCACGCCTTCCAACCAGTGATGAAAAACAAACGCCATGCAAGGGGTCTGGCCCCCCTCCTTTATTACGAAGCCTATTTTCAATTTCTAGGTAGCTAGTTACCCTCAGCTTCCCTTCTTATCATTAACCTAAGGAACCCTTCTCCCCTCTTTACTCCATCTAACCGTCTAACCTTACACTTATACTGACATGAGCCCACATATAGGCCGACAAAAAAAGGTAATGTACTGTAGTCTAATGTGTTAGGTTGTTTTTCCATAACACAACTTAACAGCGTGATATAAACTATTTGTCAAACCTATGTTATAAGTTATGTTAAGACACAAACTCGATTTATGCAGTCAAATGTTTGTTTTCCTTCCTCTAGGCTGTTTTGCATATTGGTTAAAGTTGAAAGATGTGTCTACGACCCTTTCGGAATCCATTTTATTCCTCAGCAGTGATTTGATTATCTTCTATACAAGTGCCAAATATGTTTTACCTACACAAATGACCCCTCTGTTGTTTACTGTAATTCTCAAGTTGCTTTTAACTAAGGGACAGCTCTAGGGACATGTTTTTGAATATCTGACTTGGTAGAGGATTAATGTTGTTTACGACTTTACCATTCTTAGGATTAACGTGTGTAACATGTCCAGAATGAATGGATTTGGGCGTGTTGTGATTGCAAATATGTGAATTTAGATCATACTATTAAATTTCATACTTAGATTTAAAAACTATTGAAGTTGAAGTTATTACCATCTTTAATTAGTTATATTCCCACCATCTTACAAGATGAGTTCCTAACCTTAGGTTTTATCTTCTAGATTTCTCTCCAGGAATACGCATATGGTTACTCTTATTCAGAATATCTATGTTTACTTCTGTACCTGTTTGTCTCTGTCTCTCATCTCTGTCTCTGTCTCTGCCTCTGCCTCTGTCTCTGTCTCTGCCTCTGTCTGTCTGTCTGTCTGTCTGTTCCAACTAGCAGGAACAGCAGTTATACCCTGCCTGCTGTGGGCTGACAACCCATGAACATGTCCCCATTCAGGCCAGGTTATGTTGTGGGCCACACTCTTTTTGTAAGTCATGATCCAACGTAGACAGAGGCACACACACACACATTTTATAAAAACAAATATAAAAGATTTGCAATGGTAATTGCTATATTTGCATATTTTCAAATTTCCTTTTATTTTTTCTTAACCCCTTGGTGCCGGGTGACGCCAATCGGCGTGTACACAAAGAGCTCGAAAGCTGGCGTGCAACCGAACGAGCCGGCGGCGCGCCAAAGCGCGACGAGCCAGTGATTCGGGCTGATGTCCCCTACTCACACGCTCAAAGTCGGCGCGCTGCCTTTGTTTCAGCGTAGAGTTTTTTTTTTCTTTTGTACACCCGGCGCCATTGGGTTAAAGGAAGTGAATAAACACATTTCAACAGCTTCTACATAATAAAATCCTTTGAAAATCTTTTACAGGTTTGGGGAAGTGATCAAATAATTTTACAATCATACTAAGCATGAATTCCATGTAAGTGAAAGGTTATGAATGAGAAAACTGCACAGCCTTTTTTTTTATTTAAATTTCATGAAGCACTATTTTGAGTATCAAAATCTCAAAAGTAACATTAAAATGTCATAATATATTTAAACCTGACTTACTGCATTATAATAATGCATCTTAAATCAATAATCATCCAGTAAAGGCGAACCCCCATGCAACAACCCACATATGCCTCATCTACAGTAGGACAATATTTCTACAAACAATGAGTATTAATTGCTTCTCTGCCCTTCAGGTCATAACTGGAAAATATTTGAAGCTAATCTACACAGGATACCAAATGAGTATTCCTGTAAGACAGAGAAAATGTATACTGAAATAACAGTCTCTTTAAACATGTATGCAGTTTAAGCATCTATGCAGTTGGGATATGTGTGGGCGCTACAAATAGGACACATTAAAACTTACAAATTGAAAACTGGGCATGATAATGCAGTCTAATTTTGTTTTATTTTTGAGTAAAGCTTGTGTATATTTAGGAATTGCAAAGACCATGTCCAAAATATTCCAATTTGTTAGTCATCTATGACCAGCATGAAGATGTGTTTGTGACCTTAGGTGAATCACCAAAAATATTACAATTAAAGAACCAGATCCTCTTGAAAGAATGATAAAAAGAGACATGTTCATGAGGGGACAGTGTCTTTACAAGGCGTGATGTCCACTGAACTGAAATTTTGGGGGATGTTCCCTTACATACTTCAAGAAGCATACACATCTCATGGCACAAGCCTGCACAGGGCAACAGCACTCTTTACAACTTGATGCAGGACTATTTACAAAGAAGGCATTAGCCAATATTTTCAACAGGACATCACAGCAGATTAAATTATCTTCTAAAACTCCTAAATATGAAAAAATACTTGCCATACATAGGATATTAAAAATTCATTTGCAACCTAAACAGTATCTTGAAAAGAAAAGAAAAAGCTGCTGGAAATATGAAAAGACAAAGGAAGTTTGTAAATTTTGCAGGGACTCCCTTAATCACCCTACAAGAATCTTTATACGTGCAGCAGTCTGAGGTTCCTACATTATTAGGAGTTAGGCAATTGAGAATTGCATTTTGAAAAACAGGCTAGTGAAATATGGACATTGGTATGCATGGATCATTTGTTTGAAGCTAAAATATACTTGTTGAAAATGACCATGATGCAGCTATCAGAACGACGACCCTGGAGATGTTTTTCACTACTCCTGACTGACTAGATCATATCACCAACATAACACTATATATTTATGATGTCAGCCTAAAGAATAAACATAAACATCTGCTAATACTATGTAAGACTCTAGAACGAGCCCTTGTTATATCATGAAAGTCCCAGAGAATGAGAATAGCAGGAGTGGGTGATGATTGGTATGGAAAGACTTGTTTGCTGGGGCTTCAACGGGTCTGTGCGGCAATCATTGCAAGGAGACGTTTTTCCTCTTCTGTAAGTCCATTTTTCAGGGTGCGCCGCACTGGAAAACAAGGCAGTTATTAAAAACAATTCCAGAAACTTTGTAAACCATTGTGGTTCCAAGTAGTTCTACACCATAGAAAGATAACCAAAGGAAAACATTTTACATGTACTTTTGTTTAGGATTCTAATAGTTTGCCAGAATATATTTTGATTTCAGTACCATAACATTAAGTCAGCTATGCCATGAAAGAAAATACACACTAATTATCTCCATGATTATGCACAACTTTCATGTTAGTCACACAAAATCATGCTTATTTCATAGTCACAACACTTTTAATGGTCAGTAAATCTTCATTGATGAAGTCAGAGGTAAGCATGGGTCTATATTATGCATAACTGTCACACAACAAAGTCCATCCTAATTGATGAGCTTGCTTTAAGCTTAGGTCATTTCTTTAGAAAAATAGATGGTCTGAGACATTCGAAAAGAAAGAAAAAAATAATAAATAAAAATAATAAATAAAAATCAAAATAAAATAAAATGAGAATGCATTATTTTATAAAGCTAGCATTGCAGCTGCAGCTAGCTGAGCAGCATGCATCTTGGTCGCCACAAGCTGAGGATTTAAATTACAGAGATTTTAGCAGCGAGGTGTCCCCAGGGTAGTGGCTGGTGGCGAAGGAGTTCTCATTTGGGAAGTACCAAAGCCTCCAGGTGGGACAAGTCTGGCACACCTTTTCTTGATCTAGATCGTCGTGGACCATTTGCTGCTGGGACTAATGATGCATTTTAGTCATGCATCTGATAATGTTCTCCATGCTTATTGCATGCTTTTAATATAAAGCATACCATAAAAGTTCTCTATATATTTGCAGTCATGAGAAGAGAGATAAAACTGCTTACTTTCCTCTGGAACACTTCTTATAGGAAAACAAATTGTTCAGAACCCTAAGTAACAACTGTATTTCTTTTTATTCTTTTTATTTTTTTCCTGTTCAACATCTATATTTTTCATAGTAATTTTGATATGAAAAGTCTTATCACATGAAAAATCTATCACTGGGAATGTTAAGGATTGGACATGCTATG